CGACCTTTGCATTTAATACCTCTCACTGAAATGTGCTCCCAAATTCAGGTAACCCTTACAGTTTTCTCCCATTTTCCTGAACCTCATCTGACATCAATATTTTGATGAATGCTCCACTAACAGCTTTCTCATTGTAATTTTTCAATTCCATTCTGTGTTCCAATCACAATATAGTCTTGGCTCTCCTCCCAGATTGTGATTTATTTCAAAACCTCAATTTGTTCCTTCGTAGTACTTACATTGTATCACTGTCAAAAAAGAATCAGAATGATGAGTCAGGTATCAGAAAACAATAAAGGATACCATGACTGTATTTCCCTATACACAATTACACAAATCTTAGTTACAACATACTCTTAATTAGCTCACTGGTACCCGAAGCATGTGGAATCCCAGTGTTGTGGTCAAAACCAAAAAACCAAAGTACAGAGAAATCTACACCTGTTGGAACTTCAGTTGAACGTTTCTAAAAGTGGGTTCTTGGGACAGGTGAAGTGGCAGGGTGAGGAGGAACTAAAATAATGCGGGAAAACAGGTAGGGGAGAGAGACAGTGTGTGTGAGTATGTGAGAATGTGTGTGTGTATTGTATGTGTGAATGTGAGACAGAGTGAGTGAGTGAGTTGGGGGGAGAGTGAAGGAGGAAATGAGGGAAGTCCTGGGTGGGTGGGGAAGATCTAAATCCTCTCAATGCCGTGGAACTAGGTTGGAATTGCAGAGGACGGTCTCCCCCAGCCACAGGCCAATTGAGGCCCTTCACTAGACAATTAAGGGCAACTTCAATGACTTCTCCTGCCAACTCTGGCATCTGAACAGCAGTGGCTGGCTCCTTTAGGGAGGTGGCAAGATGCCCAGCAAATCTTCAGTGCCTCCCTGTGAGCACGTAGATGGGTGGGGTCCCTCCTAACTGGTACCCTATGCCCGACAGAAAAGTCGTTCCAGTAGGAATAGTCACCTTTGTGAAAATGACCACGCCACCTTCACCAACCACAAACATTCCCCTGCTCAGTCTGCATGCTACAGGCTGGGTGACTGGTTGCACATCCAACACCACGTATTTCCTGCCAAGTGCAGTATCCAGGGCTGGCTCTCTCGGCTGCAGTCCCTGCTGTAGGCATCACTGTCAGTGGGGCTCCTGCTGGGATTGAAAATTGCTTCTGATAAATCAGTAGGTTCTAGAGGCAGGATCTTGTCCCTTAAAGAGGTAGGAGCAGCTCCTTGGTATCTGACTGTCCCATAATCCACTCCCAGAAATTGATGAGGTAGAGCTGCCTCTGTTGTGAGCTGTGGGGCTGTGGTTCAGACATGAAATTATTGAATGTATTATCGAGTACTTTCTGTGTCTACTGCAGAATATGACTGCGCTCATTTCAACACATCAATCCAAGACAATCAATTCTAAAAATCTGTTTTACCTACTACTCTCGAAGAAGACAAGCACTGGGTATTGAATGATAATTGGTATGAATGAGCTTTGCTAAGCACATTGGATAGTTTCAAATAAAATACATTCTGAGAAGGGCCCTCTGCGATTGTCTGGTAACTAGAGTTATACTACTTCAAATGTGCAAATAGCCATCTCCCCTTTTAACACTTCTGATACTTTGTTTGAACTTTGTAATATATTTTATTCACTTCTTTTGTAGGCAAAGAGATCCACATTACCATCTTCAATGCACTGGATGCTGCTATGAACTACACAGAATCTCTTGCAACCAAATGACAGTTTCTTACTGCATATTGGTTAATGGGTAAGAAAAATGGGGACAGAAATCATGTTTTGTCTATTCGTGAATGTACGAAACTTGATTGCTGGATTAAAAAGGTTAGTGCCTTCCCAAAACGATGGACAAAAAAAATCTATTTTACTAATATCTTAGTCCATGATTATACGAATGATTTAGTGAAAGAAGTTTTTTTTTAAATTTGCGAGTCAGATTTTAACATAAATTTCAAAATTAATATTTCTAATTTTCTCTGAATGCAAATTGACTTCTGAACTGGAATATACACAATGCATAAAAGTTAGTTGTGCTGCCATAAACATATATACCCTAAGTCAATGTCAATGATAATTCTCCACCGACAAGCTAATAAAAAAGCTGTGGTTCTTCTAAGGCGAATGGCATTGACCTTCACAATATTTAGCTGCTGCTTTAATTTAATTTCTGCTTTACTAGCAATGGATATTAGATAAGTAGTGTGACAAATCAGAAACAGTGAAGGTGTGAAGGGTAGTGGTGAGGTACAGCTGAATGCTGTCAATATACAAGGGCAGAAGTTTTGAAGGGGATTTGAGGAAATCTTTTTTCATCCGGAGAGTGGTGAGGGCCTGGAGTGCAATATCTGGAGGGTAGTTGAGGCAGAAACATCAGAACCTTCAAAAGGTACTTGCATGAGCACTGGAAGTGTCATAATGTTCAAGGCTATGGGTTAAGTGCAGGAAAATGGGACTAGTATTGGTAGTACAGACACGATAGGTCTAAGGGCCTCTCCTTACTCTACAATTCTGCGCATGTGGAGCCTGATGTACATTTGGAGAATATTATGGATGGGTACCACACCAATGAGATATTAGCTAGACCCTTCACTGCATTTAGCAGTTAAAGGTGCAGGAATGGGATGGTAAATTCACATTTTGTTCTCAACTATCTGTTTTATTCCTAGAAGCCCTCAATTGCTATATCCAAGTTACTGCTGCAAATCCATCTAAATTGTCTAAAAAATTCAAATGCAACTTCTTTCCAAATGTTGTGTCACAGAATCATAGAGTTGTACAGCAAGGAAACAGACACCTTGGTCCAACTCGTACATGCCAAGCAGATATCTTAAATTAATCTAGCACCATTTGGCCCCATATCCTTCTAAAGCCTTTCTATTCATGTACCCATCCAGATGCCTTTTAAGTGTTGTAATTGTACCAGCTTCCACCACTTCCTCTGGCAGCTTATTCTACATATGCACCACCCTCTGCATGAAATGGTTGCCCTTAGGTCCCTTTTAAATCTTTCCCCTCTCACCTTAAACCTATGCCCTCTAGTTTTGGACACCCCTACCCTGGGATAAGGTCCCGTTGTACTCTGAGATGGTCATCTTCACTGCTGACTACACCACTAATTTTGGTGTCATCTGTAAACTTACTAACCATTTCTCCTATATTCACATCCAAATCATTTATATAAATGACATAAAGCAGTGGACCCAGGACCAATCCTTGTAGCACACCGCTGGTCACAGACCTCCACTTCTGTAATGTTCTCCTCAGATAAAAACAAATCCCTTATTATTCCAAAAAAAGAAAAACTGTGGATCCTGGAAATCCCTTCTTATTACGTAAATCAATTCAGATAAACTCTGAACATCACAGATGAACCATTTTTTTGTAAAGTTATCCACAATTGCAGCAAAATAAGAACTTCTAATTCATCATAATGAATAGCTTTATATGTCCAATCACAAAGCTGTCTGTTAGCGTTAAACTTAGAATATACAAAACTATTACTAGCAACTATTTTAATTGAGAAGTGCCACATGGATGATCCATCTTGGTCTCCTCAGAGGTCCCCAGCATTGCAGATACCAGCCTTCAGCCAATTCAATTCACTCCTCCTGATGTCAAGAAATGGTTGGAATCACTGGATACAGCAAAGGTTATGGGCCTGACAACATTCCAGCAATAATACTGAAGACTTGTGCTCCAGAATTACTTGCACCCCTAACCAGGCTATTCCAGTACAGCTACAACATTGCCATCTACCTTTCAAAGTGGAAAATTGCCCAGGCATGTCCTGTATGTAAAAATCAGGACAAATCCAACTCTGCCAATTACCACCCCATCAGTCCACTCTCAATCATTGGCAAAGTGATGGAAGGTGTCATCAACTGTGCCATCAAGTGCACATGCAAAGGAATGATCTGCTCAGTGATGCCCAGTTTGGGGTCTGATAGGGCCACTCAGCTCCAGATCTCATTACAGCCTTGGTCCAAACATGGACAAATGAGCTGAACTTGTGAGGTGAGATGAGAGTGACTGCGTTTGATGTCAAGGCAACAGACTGGGTATGATTTCAAGGAGAATTAGCAAAATTGGACTCAATGGGAATCAAATCTCCAGTCGTGGGAGTCATGCATGGCACATAGGAAAATGGCCGTGGATGTTGGAGGACAATTATCTCAGCTCCAAGACATCTCTGCAGTAGTTACTCAGAGTAGTGTCTTAGGTCCAATCATCTTCAACTACTTCATTAATGATCCTTCCTCCATCATAAGGTCAGAATTGGTGATGTTCACTGAGTCAGTGTACATATTCAGCAAGAGCTGACAATATCCAGGTTTGGACTGATGAGTAGCAAGCAACAACCATCTCATACAAGTGCCAGACAATCATGATATTGTGAAGTACTGAGGAGTTGAGCACTATGAGGATCTGGCACAAAACAGAATTAAAGGCCTTGGGCAGA